TGTGTCTGTGTGTGTGTGTTTGAAGGCCATGCGTTTAACATCTACACAACAGACCCCCAGTACACCATGTGAAAGGAAAAAGCTACTTTAGGAATCTATATTATAAGAGGTCTTGGGCCTGCCGTTATCTTTCAGCAAGGCGCAAGGCTAATAAGTTTGGGAAGGGATGTGTGTGTTATGTAGGTGTATTGACACCCCCATCGGCACAATTCAGATTTTTCAGAAGGCGGGCTTCCGACTCTATCTGTCAAGGCCAACACAGGATGAAAGGGGAACAATATCCCAGCAAGAAGACCGAGAAAAATTCTCCCTGCTGGCGAATCGAACTTGGGTCTCCTGGATCACGTATAGAACAAACTCTTTCCACCTTTCCCTATCCCGGGCTAGCCTCCAGACAACGTCGAAAACCTATACACATTGGCATTTGTGGTGTTGGGGTTCGGAGTATGTATATGTGCATATGTGTGGGCGTGGGCGTGGGTGTGTCTGTGTGTGTGTGTGTGTGTGTGTGTGTGTGTGTGTGTGTGTGTGTGTGTGTGTGTGTGTGTGTGTGTGTGTGTGTGTGCGCGCGCGCGCGCACATGGCGTTTGTGAGAGAGAGAGAGAAGGATAGAAATGGAAAGAGATGGACAGACAGACAGACGCAGTATAAACATGCTTAAGACAAGTGACGAACCCTTCTCAACAAACATACCATCACCACCACCGTCTTTGACTAAAATACTTCTGACATCGTTAGTTTTAGTTTTAGTAAGAGTTAGATGGCATTTGCAACAAAAGTAGGTCATATAATTGCCGTATATTAGAAGCGTTATGAGGGAATAACACATAAAGAAAAGAAAGGGAGAGATAAGGACGAAAGATGTTGGATAAGGAAAAAAGAGCAAACCATACCACAGCAGCCGCCTCAAAATTCAACCAGGGGTCATAATATTCAAACAGAAAACGTCACAAAAGACAGCTTGTGGCTTCCCCAGACACGCCATGCCCGCCCTTTCACTCTTCTCCTAAAGGTCAATGTCATAAGTCATGGTTCTTCTACCTCCTGGTCCTTCACCGCCCCCTCTTAGTGTTATCTAAGACCAAACACCTCAGGGCCTGCAGTGGCTGTTTTGATGAGGGACGAGGTTTGTTAAGGCCTCAGCTTTGTTTGGGTAGTCAATTCAGAGGACATGAACATCGCATCTAGCGTGTCCCCCACCTCATCCCTCCCCCTTTCCTCCCTTTTAAACACCTTCTCATTTCCTGCTTCAGTTGGGTTGTCTTTCTGTTTGCGTGTGGCTGGTTTATTTGTTGTTTATTCGAGAGTGTGGGTGTTTATGAGGGAGGGGGGGGGAGAGTCACTTAGGGTGTGTGTGCCAGGAGTTACCGCGCCAAACATGGCCAAGAGGGGGCGCATCCATCGCAAACACACATCGCCTAATCCGCCGACCTTGCCCTCTTGAAATGTTTTGTGAAAGGTCAGAGTGGGGTTCAGCTAGCATATTTTAAACATTTGTGTCTGGATTATCTTTGGTGGTGTTTGTTTCTTTATGGAGAGGGGGACGGCGTGTTAATGAGAAAAAACAACAACATTTATAGCGTTCTCTTCCGCAAATTCACAGCGAACTATAACGACCGTGACCCTGGAAAAATACACATTTAACTTTAATAAACATGAGACTAAAATAAATACTACACTTCCAACCTTGCGCCAGGCTGATAACCCAATATGACATTATCCCAAAGCTCCATCCAAGGTCCAGCTAACAAACATCAGGACAGAGAATGGAAGACATCATACAATAGACAACACGTTGATTACAAAGATACTCTTATATTGCTTGTTTTTGCGAAAGTCAAATCATAACGTTACACATTTCAATTAGGGAAAAGACAACGAAGATTTAAAGAGCAAACAGAATGTCTCTGATTTCTTTAGACTAACAATTAACTTAACAATTTACAAAGTTGCACATTTCGTTGTTGGAAGTACTAAAAACAAAAGCGCCAATCGATAGAAAAGGGCAGGTCTAAAAAAATAATAATAACGTTAGTTAACTAACACATGATTACAATATTATAATATAGATGACCATAGCATGATTTGATTTTAGTTTTTGTGAGAGTTTTGCGGCACTTCCAACACAAATAGTTCATAATATATACATGTAAGTGCTGAATTTAAGACATTTTACAAAAGAGTAACATAAAAATAAAAGAAGTAGAAAAGGTAATAACGATAAATCGATGTTTAAGAGGAAAGAAGGAGCAGACCACACTAGAACACACGTCAACTACTACAAAGATGTTTGTTTATAATAGACACAGCTCAACAGTTCACAGAGCATATCTGACGGTGTAAAACACTGATTACATACATTAAAATCTGATAAAGATTGTAGAGTTTGGGTCGCAAAAGAACATGCTGACACGGACAAGGTAACCCGCTTAATTGAGAATACCATACCAAACAATGGTATGTGTGTGTGTGTGTGG